CTGTTTTAAGGTTACAGCTTAGGCGCCTAAGCTGTAACCACAAAACAGCAACCAGAATCCTGATTTCCATTTGAAAGACATACCCAGTTCATATGATGTCCAGTGTAGTGTAGTGGATAGAGTGAAGGACTAAGGCTCAAGAGACCTGAGTCTGGATTCTCCACCCCACCATGGAAACTCCACAGGGGTGTGGAACGGATGAAGCCATTCCTTAAATATCTCACCTTGGGTGTGTGGAACGGATGAAGCCACTCCTTAAATATCTCACTTACCTTGAAAGCTGATCTGTTGTTGTTATATACAGTACTGTCAAGTCACGACCAATTTATAATTTATAATCTGGACCAGGCCCTTGCCTTGGAATCCCAGGTGGCGTCAGTGGTCCGCACCACTTATTTCCATCTCTGGTGGATAGCCCAGCTGCGCCCCTATCTAGATGTTGGGTCGCTCACCACTCTGGTCCATGCGCTCATAATCTCGAGATTAGACCACTGTAATGCTCTCTCCGTGGGGCTACCTCTGAGATCGATGCGGAAACTCCAGATGGTGCAGAATGCGGCGGCCAGACTTCTTACTGGGGTAAGGAAATATCAACATATTACTCCCACTCTGGCCGCCTTGCACTGGCTGCCCGTTCGGTTCCGCATAGATTTCAAAGTTTTAAGCTTACGTATAAAGCCCTAAATGGTTTAGGGCCTCGTTACATGACGGAACGCCTTCTCCCACCTAGGTCTACCCGTATCACTCGATCTAGCCAGGAGGTGAGGCCTGACGCCGAGGGAGGCCCGGAAGGAAAAAACAAGAAACCGGGCCTTCTCAGTAGTGGCTCCTCGTCATTGGAATAGCCTCCCTCCTGAGATCCTTCCCTGGGGATCTTCAAACGCCAACTGAAAACCTGGCTGTTTAAGCAAGCCTTTCCTCCATCCACCGCCTGATTTTGTTCTCTGTGCCTTTTTCCCATCTGGATTATTGTGGTTTCATTTTTAGTGAAATGTTGTTATGATTTTAAATTGTATTAGATTTGATCTGTTGTTACCCGCCCAGAGTAGTCGGTACGACTAGATGGGCAGGCTATAAATGTAACAAACAAACAAACAAACAAACAAACAAATAAATAAATAAATAAAATGATTACCCAAAATAGGGCTTTCCAGGTAAGTGAGATGTTTAAGGAGTGGCTTCACCCGTTTCACATCCCCAGTAAGTTTCCATGACAGAGTGGGAAATCCGAACTCAGGTCACCTGAGTCTTGCCTCTTTTGTGGGGTGATGCCTATCCTTCCCACCCACCCCCTTTTTTTAATGATGTGTGAGTTTGTCAGTCCTGGAGGAGTCCCAAACTATGGAGGTGCTGGTGTTTTAGAAGCTGTGGAGGAGATCAAGAGATAAACAAGGAGCTTTTGTGGCTCCCTGTGTTCTGGAGGAGACTTCGGGAGGTGGGCCCGGCCTGCCCACTGTAATGGAGGGAAATGTGCAAAAAATGTGTCCTTGGGCGGATCAAGAATGCCTTCCAACATGAATGCAGCCAAAGAGGACGTGGAATAGCTGTGCGTCAGGACAGCACAACACGCACAGCTCATTTCCATGATGACATGGACGTCTGGGAGTCTTGATTCCCAAGGATTAGAAATCCCAGGCCCCAAACCCCTCCGGCCCATTTCTAGAGTGGTCATTTATGCATCGCCCAAAGGAAGGAAGGAAGGAAGGTAGGAAGGAAGGAAGGAAGGAAGGAAGGAAGGAAGGAAGGAACGAACGAACGAACGAACGAACGAACGAACGAACGAACGAACGAACGAACGAACGAACGAACGAACGAACGAACGAACGAACGAACGAACGAACGAACGAACGAACGAACGAACGAACGAACGAACGAACGAACGAACGAACGAACGAACGAACGAACGAACGAACGAACGAACGAACGAACGAACGAACGAACGAACGAACGAACGAACGAACGAACGAACGAACGAACGAACGAACGAAGGAACGAAGGGCAAAGAAATACCTAGGATGCTATAAAACATTCATATGCTAGTTTGAATGGATAGGTACTTAAGAGTTACAGCTGCAGTTAGTTAAAGTTATATATAACTTTATATAGTTACAGTTACGGTTATAGTTATATTTAATTATTTATTTATTTTAAATATTTTGCAAAAAACGACCAAGGCAGGTTACATCATTAAAAATGCAACATTAAAAGCTAAAAAGAGTAAATTTTTCAGATATTAAAGAAGAATGAATAACATATTAAAAATGTTAAATAAAAGCATTCCAAAAACAGATTTAGAAGCAACAAAATACAAACCATCCCATTTATTGGCTCCTAGACAGTCAGTCACTCAGGCAAAGGCTGCCTGAAGAGAAAGGTTTTCATCTGTGGAAGGCCAGCAAAGATGGGGCCAGCCTGGTCTCCTGTGGGAGGGAGTTCCAGAGTCTGGGTGCAGCCACAGAGAAGGCCCTCTTCTGTGTCCCCGCCAGGCGCAACCGTGAGGCTGGTGGGACTAAGAGAGAGGCCTCTCCTCATCATCTTAACATTGGGCAGGCTCATAAAGGGAGGTACAGTTTTTGAATGAACTTGAAGCCAAGCCATTTAGGGCTTTATAGACTAGAAACTGCAATACTGTACACATTTATATAATTATGAATATATATTGGGGGTGGAACTGCCAGAAGACCTAAATGTAGAGCATTTCATAGCTTGGGGCAATATTTCCTGCATTGGCAGACAGCTACTCGGTCTCTACAACTGCAGAATTTTTTGTGTGTGTGCTCCTCCATCTAGATTGAAGGCTGTTATCTGTTGCCGTGGATCTAAAAACACACCGCCACCGCTTCTGATATTTTTCAGACAAAAAGAGGGAGGGACACTCTGTTGTGTCAGTGCAGCCCCTCCCTTGGCATCCTGAGGGGTGCAACACAGAGCTTGCTGACAGCATACAGGGACACATCGGTGAAAAGCCTGCCTCTCTTCCCTTTTCTGCATGTGGCACTCACAGGCCCTCCAACAGCTGATCTCATCCTGGCTCCGGAAGCCGGTTTCCCTAAGAATGCTCACTGGATCTGGTTATACTAACGGGTGGGGCCACCACGTTCAGGTTTGTGTGGGTAGGCACAACTAGGGGAGGGGAAGGGAAACAGAAGTGGCATGCTGGCGTTTGGCACCCATACACACGCATTTGTATGTGTGTGCACCACAGCTGAGAGAAGCGCTTGCCGAAATTTAACTGCTGGCGTTCCTGGAGAGGAGGATGGAGCCAGAAGGACTCTAGAGTGTGCGTGGATTCCCATTTTACAAATACCATATGCCCACAACAATTATTTTATTTTGCAGAAATGGCTGCTGCTGTGCTAGGGGCTGGCAGAAGAGAGACTGGGAACTCCACGTGTCTCCCTTCCCAGTCTTCTACAACCCATCATATTTCCATGGTGGGTACGGAGAAGAGGGTTTCCATCCTCTCTCAACCCTCACAGTTGCTCTGTGGTGCATCAAGGCAGGACACATTACCCTTTGGCCAACACGTGTGTTCACCTGCATGCAATTCTTTGCTGCCTATGGTGAGCAGGCAAACATTTAAAGCTCAAGAAAGCGACATTTTGGGCGACAACTCCTAAAATACCCTAACCACCCCCTAAAAAGCAGCTTTCTCGGGTTCTGCTGAAAGATGTGTCAGTTGTCCCAAGAAACATTGAAAAAGACATCGCCAGCATTGCCATTAAAGGGCAATGGAGAAACTGCCTGATATGGGATGGAAGAAAAATCAGTGTTGTCCCTTTGGGACAAGTGGGTCTCTGAACAATAGTGCACCTGCTTTGGCCGCTAATGTATTTGAATTAAAAGTATCTAGCATCCATCAGGCGAGAAGAAAGGCCCTTCACTGCTTAGCAATAATAATTACATGCTCTCAAACCAGTTCTATTATGGTGAGGCTTCCCAGGGTTGTAGTTCACCATTCCCTTCTTCTTTGAGCGAACCAGTTCTATTATGGTGAAGCTTCCCAGGGTTTTCTAGGTCACAAATACTCAGATGTAGTTCACCATTCCCTTCTTCTTTGAGCATCCTGGGACTGTGCAGCTTACCCAAGGCTACCCAGGCTGTCTCTTCTCTCTGAAGGCAAATTGGGGAATCAAACACCCAATCTCAGTGTCTCGAAAGCTCAGGTAGCCAACTCAGTGAGCTCTCCTGCTAGCTCCACCTTGGAAAGCCACTGCGAGTCTGAATGGACCAAGGAGGGGCAATGTCTGACCCTCTGGTTGCTACTAGACTACAGTTCCCATCATGTGGCTTTGCTGGTTTGGGGTGCCATGAGTTGCAGACCACCAAACTCTGGAGCGCTCCACCATGCCCACCTGTAGAGTAGACAGTACTATATTAGATGATCCACTAAACCAGTGGTTCCCAACCTTGGGTAACCCAGGAGTTCTTGGACTGCAACTCCCAGAAACTCTGGCCAGCAGAATTGGTGGTGAAGGCTTCTGGGACCTGGAGTCCAAGATTACCTGGATTATCCAAGGTCAGAGACCACTGGGTTAAACCAACTGTGTTCCAAGGTTTGGGAATTACATTTTTCTGTGGCTCAGGGCGTTCTGGGAACTGTGGAACCCGAAAGGAATTTTTCCCCAAAGCTCCACTGTATTCCTTCAGTTACCTCTGGACCCTTTCTTTCCCTTTTGCTACGATTCAGTATCGAAGCTACAACTGCCTACCAGTGTCATCATACAGACAACCAGCTCAGTGTATTTGAACCGATGGAGAGGAAACAGCATGGCACAAAGGAGAGCGGACGGGCAAGGAGAGCGGATCTGCTCCTTTTAGGGGAGCCCCAGGGCCCATCCTCGTTCGCATCCACCCACGAGAGAAGAAGGGAGATGTGCGGTGTGTGAGAAGCAACCAATGTACTTAGCCAAGCATTCCCCCTCTCTTGCTTGCAGCCGTAGCAGCAGCTTGTCTTCTCTCTCTCTCTCTCTCTCTTCCCCCCCTCTCCCCCACCCCACCCCATTGCGCACACACAGCCGGTGGAATTTGTGTGTGGGCTCTGCTTGCAGAAATGCAGAGTTAACATAGTCGGGCACCCACTAACACTCGCGTGCCTGCAAAGCCGTCCCTGCCAGAGTCCGGCTACTGAAGCTCTGGTTTAGCCAAGGCTTTGGGAAGGCCACCTAAGCAAAGGGTGCGATTCTCCTAGGACAGGGACTTAACAAGGGAGCAGCACTCCAGGATACCGACCAAACCTCAGACTTTCCGAGCAGGGTGCCCATCGCGCCCAGGTACGCTGTCGTCTCTGTCACCCAGCCGGGGTGCCATCATCACTGCCATCACCACCATCATCACCCAGAGGGAGACTCTGATTCTACTGCTGCCTCCAAGGGGGACGTTTTTTGCTCTCCGGCTTCGCAGGCATCCCCGGGACTGATCCATCTTGCTCTTTCCGTTCCAGATTCGCCCCCCTCTATCTGGTTCAGCAAACCCGATGCTGACAACTTCAACAGGCAAGAATGCCACTAAGACGCTTCTAAAAGGTAAGGTCAGTCACAGAGGCCAGCAGCCTGTACAGTCTGAGCAAGATGCCTCCTGGGTGTTTAGAGCCAGGATCTCTGCTAAACTTAGGTCCACCCTGAGAGTAAAAGCAGGTACGTGGCTTGCTCTTGTGTTGTCCAGTCCCTGCCTTTTAGAATGCTGTTTCCCAGCCTCAAATCAAAACATCCTTCCAACGCTGCTGCAGTGCCTGACTAGTCACATCGGGTCCTGCCTGGCGGATTTACTTGACTCCATCTGCCCTACTCGGCAGGGATGGATAGTTGCCTAGAACAGCAGAATTCGGGGAGGTCCAAGCTACTTGGGAAGTCACTGAAGGGTCAGAATGGCTGCTTTTGCCCAGAGAAAAATGGGATAATCTATTCCTCCTCTTGACAAACATCTCTGGTAGCTCAGTGGTTTAGGCATGGTTGGGAGTTCGAATCCCCCTGTGCCTCCTTGACAGGGGCTGGACTTGATGATCTAGAGGGTCCCTTCCAGCTCTGCAGTTCTAAGATTTTCTTTAAGGCCTCCTATGCTCCCTAGAAATTGATAGAGTGAACCCAGGCCCGTTCCCATGAGTCCAAGAAAAGAGGCTGTTTTGTGCAGTTCTAAGATTTCCTTTAAAATCTCCTATGCTCCCTAGAAACTGGAGTGAACCCAGGCCTGTTCCCATGAGTCCAAGAAAAGAGGCTGTTATAAGGGGAAAATCCTTAGTTTGTAGTGTGTGTGTGTGTGTTTTTGTGTGTGTGTTTCTGTGTGTGCGTGTGCGTGTGTCTGTCTGTCTGTCTGTCTGTCTGTCTCTCTCTCTCTCTCTGTGTGTGTGTGTGTGTGTGTGTGTGTGTGTGTGTGTGTGTAGACATAATTCATTTTTATCTCAAGCAGCAAAATAGCTTGAGTTAGCCTTGGCTTATTTCTGAGATCTCTCTGTTCTTGGGAAAGAACGTAACTCAGTAGGAGGATAGTTGCTTACAACCAGCTGGTCTCTAGTTCAGTATCTGGCATCTCTAATTAAAAGGATCGGGCCAGGCAGTAAGCGATAGATCAGGCCAGACAGGGTTTGTGGTACGTCAGACCCAGGCTGGATATCTGGAAGACCTTTCCTAGGGCCAGCTGTCCGTCAAAGCAGACAGTTCGGGGCTGGGTGGGCGAAGAACTGGAATGAGTATCAAGTCGCCTTTTGCCTTTGGGCCCAGTTAGATCACGGAGAGAAAAACCTCTAATACAATGTCCATCATCTTTGGCATACTGGCTGGGGCTGATGGAAATTAGCCCCTTGCTGTCCGTTGCACTTATTATGATGACCGTGGTCGTATTATTCTGGTAAAAATCAGGTGATCAAAACTGAGGTGGGTGCAAAGAAGCCTCGTTTTTGTTTTGTTTGGTTTGGTTTTTGTTTTTTTTTAACGATCCCTGTCTCCTTGTCAGGCTTCCTTCCTGGAGGGACACAACCTTGACGTGTTTTTTTTTTTTAAATTATTGCATCCTAACCAGCACAAATGGCTTTTTTATCTGCTTGAATCCTTTCTGGGAAGAGGGAGGATAATACCGCCTCCGCAGCAGCGATCAAAGAGACCCTGATCCCTTATGTCAGGATTGATGGCGGGTGTTTGCGCTCATCACAGGGGGGGGGAAGGGTGTTGTGCCCCTGGACACCAACCATGCCCTGAGCCGGGAGCCCCCTCCCTCGAGGACACGGCAGAGCTTCTGACAACAGTTATTTTGATGGGGCCGGGCAGGAGTGCTGCCGAAAGCCAACTGGAGGAGTGCCACAATCTGAGGAGCGGGTGGTGGCAGGAAACAATGATTAGCGGGTGGGGGGTGCTCAAACTAGGGCACTGGAAAAGCTACAGGATGCAAGATACTGTGTATGCGTGGGTTGACATGTATGCTTTCTATGAGAGCCTCATTTCAGATCTAGGCAGAAAGGGGCAAAGATTTCAGCTGAAGGACAAGTTTTGCACATGGGCCGGCCCTACCGTTAGGCAGAACAAATTGCCTGCCTCGGCTGATAGATGCAGATTGTGCAGGAAGAACGGCTGACTGGCCCTTCCTCTGGAGCCTTTCACAAACAATGGCCCCCAGTTGGAGGAGAGATTGTGTGTCCTACGTAGCCTTCCCTCAGGCCACAAATGAGCCCGCTAGCCTCTGGTGTGTGCGGTGAAAGAAGACTCCACAAGTAGTCCTGTCCTCTTCTGTACGTGGATGATAAGGGAAGGAGCCAGCCTGACCTTTTTTCCTCAGGCAGCAAAATGCCGTAGGCCAGCCCTGTTTGTGCACGCTGGCACTGAAGTTGCAATTCATCCTATAAAGGGGGAATGACTGATAATTGCTAATAATTACAAATAAGTACTGTAGTAAGCTTTCTGGATGCCCTGGACTGCCAGAAAGACAAATAAGTGGGTCCTAGACCAAACCAAGCCTGAATTATCTCTGGAAGCAAAAATATTGAAACTGGGCACTATTTTGGGCACGTCCTATTTTGGGCACATCATGAGAAGATGGGATTCTCTGGGAAAGGCATTCGTGTTGGGAAAGATGGAAGGCAGCAGGAAAAGAGGAAGACCAAATATGAGAGAGAACGACTCCTTAAAAGAAGCCACAGACCTGAGTATGCAAGAGCTGAGCAGGGCAGATGAGAGCAGGATATTTTGGAGATTTTAACGGACACCATAACTTGGAGCTGCACATAATTAACAACAAGAAACAACAATAGAAAGGCATTCATGTTGGGAAAGGTGGAAGGCAGCAGGAAAAGAGGAAGACCAAATATGAGAGAGAACGACTCCTTAAAAGAAGCCACAGACCTGAGTATGCAAGAGCTGAGCAGGGCAGATGAGAGCAGGATATTTTGGAGATTTTAACGGACACCATAACTTGGAGCTGCACATAATTAACAACAAGAAACAACAATAAAGACATTTAGGATTTCAGCCTTCATTGTTCAAAAGCTGGTTTTTAAAAACACATACGAAAACATGCACTTGTTGCTGCAGCTATTTTAGCAGTTTTATCAACTCTGGGTAAATTATCACGTTAATGACAACTGGGAGGAAAATGTCCCCTTGACGTGCAGATCTGGGACACAGATTTCTTTATTTGTTTATAACAATCAGCCCTAATAGCGCAAGCGCGTGCAAAACCAGTGAGCCAAGCAGAAATACAAATCCTCCTGAGAAATAATGGTGTGACATCTGAAACCTAGGAAAAAGGGGAAGCCAGATATTGACAACCGTCCCTGAAAAACACTCCAGGTGGCGGGCATGCTTAGTGTAGGAAGCGTGGAAAGAGAAGGGCATATTTCTAGTCCATCGGCAGCATCAGAAATTAAGTTGAGACCAAAGGGCAAGAGCAGGGGGGACTCGCAGCTTTCCAGGTGTTGTTGGACTACAATTCCCACCTGCCCAAGACAGGCTTAGCCAGTGGTAAAGAGTGATGGGGGTTGTGATCCGAAAACATCCAGAGGGCTCCAGATCCTCTCCATTCTTGCTAAGGGGAAAACAGAGTGATGCGGGGGAGGATCTGAATGAGTCCAGGCTATGTAGGCCAAATGACAACAGCGTATTTCCATCCTTCCAGCCGTGAAGCAGATCTCAGGAACGGCTTTTTCAAAACCAGCTTGAAACCATCCCAGCGATAAAGCCAAGGAAATTCAGACCCTTTTCAATACTCCTATAAAAAAATCCAAAGGATCTTTTTTCCCCCCTCCTTTCCAAGCAGAGAGGAAGTCATCCATGCACCGATGCTTTTAATCGCCTTTCCCGAGCTAATCCAGCTACCTTAAGTCTCTCCCCTTTCTTAGCTTACTAACCCGGTGGCTTTCTCCTGTCATTTCCAGTCCCCTGCCCAGACTCCCATGACCTGCCCCTGGGCTGATCTTCAGCAATCGTCCCCATCCTGAGCGGGTGCCCTTGTGATCAGATCTCCCTGTATACGTAACCTGAGCAGATGCCATGCGTTTGTCAGAGGGCAGGAGCTTGAAAGAGCTGCACGCGCCCACGGTGTTGGCAGCCCTGCCAAGACCTGCCAGCGCCTCCCTGGTGCACAGACGCTGGCAGAAAATAGCCAGTGCTCAGGCAATGCCAGTAGACAGTATGTGCTTTTATCCAGACGGGATAAAGGCACAGGGTGAGAATGCAAGATATGTATTCTGTGCAACCCCCACTCCTATACACTTTGTGTGTTTTTTTCTCGCTTTCTCAGCTGGAGCAGCCTTACAGGCAGTTGTGGCTTAGGCGCCTGGCTGCAGAGTTACAGGACGGGAGTTCGATTCCCCACTGTGCCTCCTTGAACAGGGGCTGGACTCGACGATCCATAGGGTCCCTTTCAGCTCTGCGGTTCTAAGATGATTCTAAGATAAAATGGGGAGGAAGCCAGCCATGTAGCTGAGGTTACTTAAGGACAGGCAGAATACAAATGTAATAAATAGATAAATAAACAAATCTTTGCCTGATGCTTCCTCTCTCTTTTTGCCATCCTCACTGCCTCTGTGCTGTTTAATTTTTAAGGTGGGCAGATGAATGGAAAAGCTAGGTGCCTATCATCACTTCGAGCTAGACAGAGGGAGTTTTGGCAAGCAGGAATAACATTTCCTCTTGCGTGCTACTTTTAAAGGTACCGTTGCTCTCCCACCCCTTCGATTTGCTGGTTTATAAACAGAGAATTCCCAAGGCCCGAGCTACATCTTCTGATCTGAGAATCTCATCGCACCTTTCCTCCTGGTGAAAGTGCCGTTCCCGCACCTCTTCATTGGTTGAGAAAAACAGTAGTGACAGAGCAGAACTCTGCACAGTCTCAGAGGTGCTCTCTCCTGTGTTATTGTACCAGATATTCCAGAATTCAACTTTGCTCTGTTCCTTTGCCCTGAAGCTACAGGAGGATTAAGTGTTACAGGGGCAGTGTCAGTATCTCTGATTAAGTATCAGCTGAATCTGAGCTGCTGGAGGTAAAAGGGGGGGGGGGACACACACCATGCAAAGTGAACCCTGCACAGGAATTAGCCCTA